GTGACGCTAAATAAGCAGGTGGCAGTCAGTATTAAATGGAAAATGCTGGTCTTGATTTCTGTCCTGTGTAGTTTTCTGTTAAAGGTGATAGTAAAACTAACTTCCCCCTTTTGGTTAAAATTGTAGATGTTATTGTTCTTGTGCGTGAAGTGGAAGTCAGAAGTTTTAAATATGGCATTCACAGCATTTTTTTTGTTGTTCATCTCCAAAAATGGCAACTTGTAAAACTGGTTCTTTGTTCTGTTCCAGCAAATACTTGAAATATGTTGAGATGGCAGGAGTTTCCAGACTCGTCTCTTCTGCAGTGGAAAAACAGAAAGCTTGAGCTATAAGCAGGTGGTTTAGTACAGGAAAAGATTTAGAGGAAAAAGGCCCTTAAATCAAAGGGTATTAATGTATGGAGCCTGTTTATTAATTATAAATTTAACATGTACGGCAGTGTTAATGTTGTAATTAATTTTTAACTGGCTTGTAACTGATTATACGTGCATTAATATGATGAAGATGTTTTTTATTATTGTTAAGCTGAATATGGCTATGGTGTCCTTATAGAGTCGATATTTTCTTTTATTTGTAATATATTGGCAATTATCAAGTTATCTTTTATTATCTTTTTCAAGAAGCCCCAACATGTGAAAAACAACAATAATACATATTTACATATTATTGAAATTATAAGGTGTCCTTCATTTGGCTCAAATCTATTTTTTTTTCTTCTTCCTATTGCTGTGTTTCTGGGGTTAAAAGAAATTTTAAAAAAGTATTTAGCAAATATTCCTTTTATGTATTTCTAGAACTTTAACATTCCCGCCATCTATTAACCTTAAAAACCTTCTTTATGTGTTTATATACCAAAAACTATGTTTGAGTTCTTATGGAAAGGGAAAATTCCAAGAATCTTTTTTGTTCAGGTTTTTTACAGTATTTTTCACTTCTGTTTAGGAAGTTTACTAATTTTAATTATCAAGGTACACTTAGGACTTAAACAAGTTTTAAAACCACAATAATAATAATAATAATACCCATGGATTACAGAAGCAATGCAGCGTTTTCTCTTCCCTACTTCATTTTTAAGATTCCTGGTCATAAAAATCACAAACAGACAAGTTACAGAACCAATCAAATTCAACCATTGCTTGGTTAGACCTTGATGTTTTAAAACTGGACTCCCTGTTTGTTGTAGAGGGCTAAGTTCTTTAGTTAGCTCAGGTTTGAAATCCATGAATCAGGAAGGTTATCTGATGCTAACTCTTTCATGAATGAGTTAGCAGTTATAAGACTAAGTAAAAGATCCTAGGCCCTATTTGGTGAAGCCTTCAGAGACCACGCCCACAGAATATGTAACATGGATGAATGAACTAAAAAAAAAAAAAAAAAAAAGTCTGTAATCAGACTTAAAGGTGCAGCCGTACGACTACAGAGAGTTTTTTGGAGATCCAAAAAACATCAAGCATCTTCAAGTTTCAGAGAATTTTTTGTAATAAATTTTACAATCACATTTGCTAAATAAATATGTTTAAGACTCGTTTCTCTGAATGAGGTTCTGCTTTTGCAGAACTATATTTAAAATAGGATGTTCGCAGAACTTTGCAAGTCAAAATAATTTCAATCTCTTTCTCTGACATTTTTTTAGTTGATCCACAGCAGCCTCATCTTTACTTTAGTTTTCATTCTTTTATATCTTTTTTGGTATAGAAAAACAAAATATATGTCGAAAAACATTAACATGTTTCCAGTTACGTCTTTGTGAAAGTTTTTATGCCCTCTGGCAAAGGGAAAGTTATGAGTTGAATTCTACTGTAGCTTCCCTGGAACCTCATGATTAGCCCTTAAGAGTGCGTAACGATCTACGTTTTGCCATGCAAGTGTTTAAATACGGAGCGGATGTGACTTTTTGTAAATGAGCAGTTTTGAAGTCAGATTCTCCTCTTGTACTTCACTGGAGCACAACACCAACTCTTCCTTAAAAAGCAGTCTGGTAAAAAGCCTGAGACAGAGTCAGATTTCATCCAGAGACACGTGGATGATTTAGGTTCTTCTGGTGTCCTCACTTAACACTTTGTTTTGTTTTTACCAAGTGGCCAGTCCCCATCTATCTCTCCTCGTAACACACTCACATAAACACAGAGACAGGAAGACACACAAGCTGTCAAGTATGTCTTTAACTTGTTGACAGCAACACACACCACCATTTACTCTTGAACACTTGAGTTTGCACCAGTAAAGCGAGGGTGTATATATAGAAATAGTTTGGCAACATTTGCAGGCAGGCAGCACATTGATGCCAACACACACACACACACACACACACAAACCCAGGCCGGCCAGCTGCTACGGGAAGACCAGAGGGTTTTGAATGGGAGTGACAGCTGCAGATTCCTGAGGATGAAGGAGGAAGAGAGAGATATGAGAAGGCAGCAGTGAGCACGAAAGGCAGAAAAACCTCAGATTTCATGGGATGTGTCTTAAGGAGAGTTTAGAGAAAAAGAAAGTAACCAAGAAGACTAAAATAATCTAGGATCAATTTTAGGATAATATGAGCTTGAAAGAGGAAGTTACTGATGTTTTAGGTATACTTTTTAAAAATATTTTAAAAATATCTGGAAATGAAAAACCTTAATTTGATAAAATGTCCTTTTAAGAATTATTTAAAAAAGACGTTTGGACTAGCATAAATCTAAAATTCCAAAAGTTTCATGTAACAGAGAAAATTTCAAAAACTACATGAAATAAATTTGCGTCGAACCCCCTGAATAAAAACATCAGTAAGCTTTGCTGCGGTAACAGCTCCAGTCCCAGACAGTGCTATGCTTTGATCTGTAGCTCTGAACCTTTATTTATGGTCATTGCTCTGCTGAAAGGCGAACCTCAGAATTGGTATCTAGTCTCCTATAGATTCTAAAAGGTTTTCTTTCTGCGCCATCATGCTGAGAACTCTTAAAACCCTACTAAAGGAAGCCCTCCCCACAGCATGATGCTGCCACCGCTGTGTGATCTTTGTTTTGGTGTTTTCAGCACCATATCCAAGGGGTTTCAGCATATGTTTTAATTGTTTGTAAAAAGATTTTTGTCTCATATGAGTTTCTGCTGTATGGGTTATGGCACACTTTCTTCTTTTAACTCTTCCATAAAAGCCAGAAGAGTGGAGAGTGTGACTTGTTGTCTCCTACCTGAGCCATGGATCTGTGCAGCTCTTTTACAATTAAAATCCTTTTACCACTTGGTCAGCCATGTCAGGATAGCTTTGTTTTGGAACCGCCCTCTGTCCACTTTCAGACAATCGAATGACCAGAACAAATGCTAGAAAGCCCAGATATTGTTTAGTATTCTAATTCAAACTTTTTCCCAGCTTCATCCCTGATCCTTCTGCAGTTTGCATCATTAAAGCATTAAATTTAAGGGGTATTTGAGTAAAAGGGGCTGAATTCAAGTGCATGCCACATTTTTTAGATCTATATTGAAATAAATAAAATAAAAACACTTGTTTTCTTATTACTTTCTTGGTTTAGATTTTTTTCCCTTAAAAATACAGTGAAATTCATCGAATGAGACGTTCCTTTAACAAAGAGATATGTGCGGAAGTTCCAGCTATGTGAACGATTTTGCAAGGAACTTCGAGGATTGGGAAATTAAGGAGAAGCTGTCTCGGTTTTTACTGGTAGTACGCACTATCCCAATGACGAAGAAAGCGCTGGGTGACCGATTAATAGAACATGTGAACCCAACTGTCAGAACTTGACTTTCCATAGAAATCCTGTGTTGCACAAGGTTTTGATTAACAAATTGGATGCACTCAAGTATATAAACAAAAAGCCTAATAGTTAAATCAATTAATCTGCTTGATTTTCACGCACCGACCTCTAACTAATCTACAGCTTTTAGTCTAATTCACAAATCTTCTAGGAAAGATGATGCTAATCTTTTTTCTCTCTTTTTATTTGCGGGGTATAATAAGAAAGTCTGACATGAATAAATCAACAAGATCTAATAAGATCCGCTGTTGAGGAGAAACGTTTTTATATCCGCAGCCAGTTTGAGTCACGGCTGATTTCTGCAGAAATAGCAAACCACAACACTTCCCTAAAACTGCAGTAAGCAAAATCACTAACGATCAGCAGAGGTACCTCCTGCAACCATGCCGTGAGGAAATTCTTCGACCCTTTAACTTAACAGATGTTTTATCACAAGTGCTTTTTACAATGCCTGAACCCACTTAGTCTGAAATCCATGTGGAACAAAGTGAAGCGCAGCCTAACTGGGTCGTCAATAGCTCACTTAGTAGTTTTCCATGTTCCTATAATGGATGTGTTTGTAAGCAAGCGTCTGTCCGTAGCATCGGCGCGTTGCCTGCAGGCCATGTTTGGTCTTTCTATCACAGTCGTTAAATGATGTCACAGTTCTTTGCTTTTTAATCTTCAACGTCAGCAGTGATTTGCTTTCTGGGACGGGGTGTGTTGATTCTCAGGGTAATCATGTGTTGTTTGGTGGCAGTTTGACAGCAGCTCGAAAGCTCTGCAGCAGCAGCAGCCGCCGCTGCGTCACAGCAGCTAGGAAGGGACATGGGAGGAAATGGGAGTCTAAACTGAGCTCTCAAACAGGAAGCCAACCCGGTTCTCTCATTGTTGTGCTTTTATAGACTCAACTTCCTGTCAAGTGTGCTGCCACTGTCACCATAGTTACCATCCCTATTACTGATAGGATGTGACTCTAAAGATCTATCGCTGAAAGTCACACATTTCTTTAAATTGACACTTAAAACCATCTTGTGAAAAAAAAACCTTTGATGTTGAAGTCTGATTAATTTTCCCTTCATGCAGTGTTTTGCTTTTTACACTGAATCGAATTCTGTATTTATCCTACTTCCTGATTCTGTTTGAAACTCCCTCCCATCCGTTTAATACAGTGGAAGCAGGAGTAATAACAGAGTCAGGTAGTTTGTTTTTGGACGGAGTCAATAGATAGTTTCAAAAAATGGAGAGAGGGAAGGAGTGAAGGGCAAGAAAGGGAAGGAGTTAAAGAAAAAAAGAGGATGTGGCCGGCAGTAAAAGATGACTGGAGGGGAGTGGAGCTCTCTGGCTAATTATAGATCCTGCTGTGAGCTGGCTGAGGCAGAAGTGCTACTGGAGGTTTCACACTGCCGGATATTTACATGACAAACACGGGTATGTGCTTTAAACTTTGAATTCAGAGATTATTTCAGGATTGTTTCTGTCCATGCACATTTACATTTTATTATTTAGGAATTTTAACAGCTTTGTGAAAAGGAGATACAACAGGTTGAAGAAGTCTTCCAGGAATTTAACAGTTCTTACGGCGTATTTGGTAGCATCAATAACTGTGATGGACTTAAAGATGAGATACAGTAGAAAGGAGAGATTACTTTATCAGCTTTCCTCACCTGTTCTGTTACCTTCCTAAGCTCCAGATTTAGCATTTGCTTAAACAAAACTAACAGAAAACAGATGTTTATAGAAAGCTTACGGCAATTTTGGACACTAGAAACTATCCTACGTGAGACATTCATTCAAAATTCAGCTAATGGTGGTCAGACGATGTTACCAAGTCTAAAATAAGATACCTTAAAGAGAACTGTTATTTATAATGCCATCAGTTCTTGGAATAATTGCCCACTGAATATAAATGAGCTCAATAGTAAGGTATCTTTTAATTATTAAAAGTAACCTTATTATAATAAAATTTGTGAGTAGTGAATTAACATATCGGTGGATAGTCCTTGTCTCAAGTGGAGGAGTTCAAGTATCTTTGTGGACTTGTTCAGGAATGAGGGACGGATAGAGCATGAGATTGACAGACGGATTGGTGCAGCGTCGGTAGTGATGCGGTCGCTGTATACTGTAGGATTATCATGGTGAAGAGGAACCTGAGTTAGGCATGCAGGTGTACCCATGTACAGTACGGAGGCCTTAGTCCTCGATGCGGCAAACCCGGGTTCGAATTCCACCTGTGGTCCTTTGCCGCCTCTCTCTCCCCCTCTCTCATGCCCTCTTTCCTGTCAGCCTAAAACAAGCCCCTAGTTTCGCCCAAAAAAAAAACAGAGGGAGCTGAGTCGGGGGGCAAAGGTCTCGATTTACCGATCGATCTACATTCCCACCCTCACTTATGGTCATGAGATCTGGGTAATGACTGAAAGGACAAGATCGTGTAAACAAGCGGCCAAAAAGAGTTTTCTTCGCAGGGTGGCTGGGCGCACTCTTCCAGATCTGATGAGGAGCTCAGTTACCCGGGAGGAGCTTGAAGTAGAGTCGTTGCTACTCCACTTGGAAAGGAGCCAGCTGATGTGGCTCGGGCATCTGTTTCAGATGCCTCCTGGTCCCCTCCCTCAGGAGGAGATCCAGGCGTGTCCTATTGGGAGGAGGCCTTGTGGACGGCCCAGGACATACTGGAGAGACTATGTCTCTGAGCTGGCCTGGTGTAGAGCAGCTGGAGGAAGTATGAGTGGATCGGGAAGTCTGGGCATCTTTTCTTAGACTGCTGCCTCAGCGACCCGGTGTAGGAACCATATCTGCTCGGTTGGTCAGATCTGTTCGGGGCTCCTCCCCTTCTTATGACATCAACATGTGGCAACTCCACTCGGACAAACTGTAAGAATACAAAACCAAGGTGGTAGAATACTTCGTTTTGGGGGAGGTGGGGGGTACAATGGAGAGACCAATGGCTCATCATATGGCTGCACAGAGGTACAAGACAGACAACGACATCTACATACGGCAACATGCACTGGGAAAACATGCAAACTCCTTGCAAAGAGGGGCAATAGCACAACTATCTGGTCTGCATTGCAGCCCCACTTAACACCAGCATTTGAAAGAAAATGTTCTTTGTATTTGTTTTCTTGAATCTCTGTGCTTCTTTTGACTTAATTGCAGCCTTTCAGTGATGCTAAAACATCTAACGTTGAGTCGCCTTCTCTTAGTGCCAACTTTAACACTTAAGAGTGTTGTTGTTACTGCAAACTGGTAGCATCAAGTTCTATTGTGTCAACCGATCTGATTTTTGATTTTCTACAAAAAAAAAACCTTCCAGATGATTTTATTCTGCAACTGTGGCTTAAACTCTTAAATGACTAAACATGCTGTAATAAGAGGTTAGTATGTGGTGTGGGCTGGCGACCTGTCCAGGGTGTACTCTGACCTCTCATTCGGACTTCTGGAGATAAGCACCAGCCCCCCAGAAACCTCCGGTAATATGCGGATATAGACAATGGATGGATAGATGATTTGTGTGTGCAATTTAGGCACAGCACATACCTCTTCGTTTTTAAGTGCACCACTTCACCCTACACTTCAGCAACAGTTAGGCCCAGAGGGTTTTAAAAGTAATATCCGCCTGAAAATTCACAACAAAATAAATCAAGAGTAGCCCCACTGTTGTCAGGTCTTAATGGGAAAATTTGGTTCCTGTGTGCAGCTGATATAAAATACATATTTTCAGTTTAAGTTATATTGCAGATGTAACTATGTGTGATTTAATGGTGATAAAACACATTTAATATTACATTTTTTTTATACTGAACTAAACCTGTTGGTGAGTTCATCAGGCTCTTAAATATATATATATTTCATAAAGCTAATAATCTAATAAGGAGCACATACCAGGCAATAAAAGCATGATTTATATTCATTTAGCTGTTTTTGTATGTATTTTTTATTTCCCTGTCATATTGCATCATCTGCAGAAGTGTAAATTGCACCTTCAGCATAAAAGTCATATTTAACGTTGCTAAATGAGGAAATAGAGCATAGTAAGAATGTAAAAGGCGCAGCTGTTATAATGTTCCTCTGTGCTTTGTCAGTTTGTACTTTATTGTAAAACCATGCTTATCAGCTAATAGAATATCAGTCATGTTTTTAACTGTGGTCTTAGCTAAGTTATAAGTGATAAAAATAAAGGTTAATATTACTTTGGCTCTTTAGTGGATCAAAAACTTTCACCTAAATATTCGGCAGAGAATGACTGATAGCAGAAAGGAATATTTTCATCATGAATGAAAAACAATAGATCCTGGTAAGTCATTTCCATGTATTATGTAACATTAATCCTGTTCAGTTCAAATATGTTTAATTAAAAAAAATACTAAAAATGAAGTGTTGATAGTCTACAACTTCTCTCTTTACTAAAGGGGCTTCAGGTGCTTTTTGTAGTCAATCAACTTCCTACATCTTGTTTGGGAAACATATTCCCATTCTACCTTGTAGAGAGTCTCCAAATCTATCCGTCTCTGAGATCATGGATGTTACCGGCCCTCTTTAGATGACTCCACAGTTTTTATTTGTCGATTTTACTTTTGGAGTTTGATTTGACGATTCCAACACCCCTGATGTTCTGGTATTGTCATTGTTTTGTTTACTTTAATCTCATGTCAAACTCAAAGCTCAGGCCCTTTAGAGCAAAAACGGACATATCGTGTCTTAAAGTAGAAACATACATTTTTTTAAAGTCTACAAAGTGACTAAAACTGCTAAATAAATTAGAGTTAGAGTTATGCTCTTTTAAAGAAATTCATGAAATCAAAAGTTTAATTTAGTTAAAAGTTCTATCTATCCATCTGACCTTTATCTCTTATTTTTACTCATTGTCAAATCACATAAACAGGTTTCTTTTGCATAAGTGTCACTTTTTTGCATTCTGACTCAAATACCCAAAGGTACTGACATATTTAACTACTGAAAGTACCTGTTAAGGATGAGTGATTGAGCGTCGTAGGCTCTGCTAGTACAAAAGACGATGTTGTAACTATTTTTGGACATGTGACAAAACAAGAGGCAGTGTCTGCTCTGTTGATTGTTGACTTTGCATCTAAAACTAGTTGCACTGTTCTGGGTGTAATCTGTGTCTGCACAGGAGAGAATCAGTCATATGCAGGTAGCCAAAGATTGCTGAGCAACTCGCTTTTCTTGTCTTTTCTCTGCCCCATCCCTTTGCTTTTGTCTGAGCAATTTCTTTTTCTTTCCTTATTATTTTTGGAACTAGCTTGACTTTTTATGGGGACTCTGTTCAGTCATGTTGTGCATTGTTTGAATTGGTACAACTTTAGCGTATTTCACCGGGAATCAAAACACAGTGCAGAACAACATTGTGGAGCGGGTGATTTGGAAAAGTTTATACAAGTAAGAATTTGAAAAGTGTGGCATGCATTTGCATTCATCTATAATGAATCTATACTTTATAAAAAACACATTTCACTGCAGTCACCTGCAAATTGGAAAGCTGTAGAAGAATACAGAAGTTTGTCTGTTTGGTACCCCAGCTCTGTCCGTTTCAATCATTAGGTCCTTGGCCTGCATTGCCTACTGATGTAGGGAATGCATTCTCCTAGCTTCTGTCAATGTGCCCCAGAGCAGCTGTGGCTACAATGTAGCTTACCACCATCAGTGTGTGTGAATTACTGCATGTAGTGTGAAGCGCTTCGGAGTCTCCTGCCTTGAAAAGGCACTTTATATTCATTCTATTTTGCAATGAATGAAGAGCATTGTTGAACATCACTCACCACAGATTCTCAAATGGTTAAAGGTTTGGACTTTGACTGGACCGTTCAAACACATTTGTACGTTTTGATGTTAACTGTTTCATTGTGGATGTGTCTTTAGGGCTGTCATCCTGCAGGATATTGAAAACCTCTCATGAACCCTGGTCTATTAAAAAAGAATTTCAAGAATTTTAAATTGAACTTTGTTGATCTCACAATGGAGAAATTAACTCTGCATTTAACCCATCCTCTTGGCCCAGAGTGGCAGTCTGTGGGAGTGAGTTTCAAACTCAAATTCTCAGGATTTCAAGCCTTATGCCCTAACCACTGGGCACCAAATGTGTGAGCTTGATATGACAATGAAATCTGTCACATTATGGAAGATGCCAGATTTCACTATTATTTGCAGCATATCTAGTAATATAGGTCTATCAATGGTTCTATAGAAGCTTATAGGTGTTATTGATCTTATTATGAGAGTCGGATGCTAAAAAGAGTAATAAAAGAATGATGGAAAGGATGCAGCTTTTGTAGGCGCAGTGCTTTCCATTGTAATATCTGAATCTGCTTTGGTCATAGAGCTGTGTACGTAAAACTAAAGACCACCAACTGAAACTCTAAACCAAAGGTTTAGTCTAAGGCAGCTGATAATTGCGGTTTAACACGTCTCCTTCTATTATTAGCCTGAATTCTCTTTCACTCATCATTCTGTCAACTCAGACAAGCTTTCCATGCATCCCCATAGCATGATGCTGCAGCTGCCGTGTATCACTGTGGGGATGGTATGTTCAGGACGGCGTGAAGCGTTGGCTTCCTTCCACACTTAGAGATTTGTGTTTAGGCCTAAAAGCACAGTTACTGTTTGGTGAAGCAGAGATTAGACTCGATTAGATTCAACTTTATTGTCATTACTCAGGTACAGGTACAAGGCAACAAAATGCAGTTAAGGTCTAACCAGAAGTGCAATAGCAGCAAGTGCAGTAGAGCAATTTTTACTCAGGTTTGCTGTGTCTCAGTTTGGAAATATGTCTATAATTTTTCTTTTTTATAATAATGTATATTTAATATGTATAATAATGTGATATTTTTAAATATGTGCAAATATGTGATCAGGTTAATAAAATCCAAGTCAAATGAACTTTATTATGTGCTTTTAATCTTACTATATCAATATGGCAAAACTTTACCAAAATCAAATGAGACGGAGAGGTAGAGAGTGTGATTTTTTTTTTTACTTTTGTTTGTTTGTTCTAAAACCAACCTGTTAAACCGGTCCGTATTAAGCTGTGCACACATTTAGAACAAAGTAATAACAGCTGGGAGGAATCAAAGGAGAGGCATCACCTTTATAGTCTGTGGGAGCGACTATCTTTCTCAACACACCTGTGTTTCATTTCGCCCGTCTGGAAACACGCACCTAATCTGCAGGACAAATCAGCACATTCCCAACGGTCCAGGTTACCAGGCAAATGGTGTCTCACAGCTGCCGTGAAGATTTCCATAATATCAGGCCGATGCTCCTGCACATACTGACAGACTCACACAGTCGTGTGGGAGTCTGTACACTGTACACTGCAAAAACAATCCAGAAATAAGTAAAAATGTCTTAAATTAAGCGTATTTACCCTTAATTTGAGTAGGTAAATTAGATTATTAGCCAATGGATTAAGTATTTTTTTCTCTTAAAATAAAATAATTAGATAATATGCAATTAAAAAAAGACAATGCAGTTGTTTTTTCTAATTTTAAATGGAAAGTGTCTCGTTTTATTGGCAAAGTGTCTCAATCACCACCTCAGTTCAAGAAAAAAAGCAATTATAGGAAAAAAAATTACTTACATTCTTTGCAATGTATCTTTGGAGTATTTATTGTGTAATCCTGATTATGGAATAAAATAACAAGATTAGCAAACACAGCTGTGATGCTTTCTGCCCCCCCATACTTCCTGTACCCTGACATTTTTTTAGTGTTTTTTAGCAGTAAAATCTGGAACATTTAAATAAAAACTAGATTTTGAAGGGAATTAAAGTTTGAATTTACTTTTATTAAAGTCAGTTCTATTAAAAAAGCTTTACTATTTAAAATCCACTATTTTAAATGTTACATTTGTCCATTTTAAATGATGATTCTGGAGTTGGTTTGCTGAAAGCAAAGCAGATGTTCTGCAGGTGTCACATGTGTGTCCACATGGGTCGTACGCTCTGAATGTTATTCCAACACATGCCTTTCCTGCTCTGTTAGCTTGTGGGAAAAAAAGCTTGAAATCAATGTGAAATCTACAAAAGAAAAACAACAAATTCTGACCTTGTGGTCAAGATTTTAAGGAGATGTGATGAGCTGCAACGTAACCTTTTACAGATCAGCTAAGAACATCGGAGCTGCTTGGAGAACGAAAGCGAGTAGATGTGGCTACTTCAGTTTACAGACTAAACCCACCTGTGTGCTACAGGTCATGCCGTTTACATGGGAACTTAAACTGTATTTTTTACAAAGTCATTCTGCAATACTAATGGTAATTGTGAGTCAAGTCATTTTTCAGCCAAAAGGTCAGGGTTTGTTCATCAGTTTCATAATCTCAGAAAGTTTAGGCCAGTCCAACTCAATTAGAATATGAAAGCTATTAAAATGCTCCGTAGAAAATTCTGGTTTGGTAAGAACAAGTTCTGCATTTTGGAAAAGATAAGATTCTCACGTCCTTAGTGGAAATAGGATCATTTAGATTACAGTAGTGACTTTTTTTAAGGGAGCAGCAGTTCTATTGGGCTTTCACATTCTATGTACAGAGACTTCCACATATTTTAATCACTGTTTTCTTGTTTTTTTATTACTTCATAGGGATACTATGAGATAGATCAACACAAAGTTTTGCATTTAACATGTTGACAAATCAGCGTGATGTTTGCACTTCTACTTAGGGGCTCCATCTAAAGCCCAGACTTCAGTCCGAATGAGAATCTTTGAAAATACGCAAACATTAACGTTCACAGATCCTCTCCATCCATTCTGAATGAGAATAAAGCTGCTTATGGATATGATGACCAATGAGAAACGCGTAGAGTGGTCAGGTGTTTCTGTGTTTTAGAGAAACTGTATAAATAGCAGATAGTCAGGAGGGACATGACTGTGTGGCTGTGGTTTCCCCGCATGTCGGGACAGTGAGTCTAAAGTGAGTAAAAAAGAATAGAAACCAGGAATAGACTTTATTTGTGGGGGTGTGTGTGCACGCACACTCCTGCATTCTTTGTTTCCTGGTAAAAGCATGTTCTCCCCGTTTTTTTCCAAGAATAATAACCTTATTATTCCTTGGTGTCATCACAGCGCTGTAGGTTCTCCTGCCAAGGGATGGCTGTCATTCCAGCCTGAGTCGGCATCTGCGCTGCCTCTCTGTGCTTGGACCTCCTAATATGGAGGAGTCCCGACCTGTGCACAACCTCTCACAGGCAAACAAATGCATTTAAGAGTTCAATGAACAGAGATTTTGAGACAAAAACCAACTAAATGTATCAGTTGCTTTCATTTGACTGTATTTCCTCCCTGCCGGCTGCTGGCGACAGGCCAGAGCTCTTTGAGAGTGACACTCACTTCCCCCTCTGCTAAGTGACAGCTGAGCACAAGGCATAACAGCTAAAAGATGATGTCAGATAGTTATTTTTAATACATGTCAATGTTTGTGTGCTTCTAAAGTTTAGTTTCAGTGCCAGGCAGGTTAGAGCAATCTGCGTCTGCTCCAGCCTGTATTGTGTGAGCAGGTGTGTGTGCTTCAGGAGAATGTGTGCAGATGCATCTGCTTGTGAGTGGGAGTGGGGTTTTTTGGAATGTTTGTGAAGGTTTTCCCACAAGGAAGTATATTGAAGTAAATAGAAAACCATGGAAGTAGCAAAGAGCAACGGATGGATGTAAGAGTGACTGTTGCTCCTGCAGCGTTGTCCGCATGTTTATTCTTGTTAGCTTCTGGGGCCGTTCATGTGGCGGTCCAACGTGCCAACAGCTGCTCCTGATGTGAGTCACCATAAAGTTTTTTTCCTTTCCTGTACGTCGGGAACATCTGTGTATATCATGGACAGAAACCACCCCCTGCCTTTTCCCTTCCTTGATCCTGTATTTAGTGCCGGTTGAGGCAATCTTTTCCCGGGGCTCAGCTATGCTATGCAAACAGCTCTGACAGTATGCAAAGAGAATGAAAATGTGAAAATGTTGATGAGTGATGACAGCATGGGGGTGGTGGGGGGTGGATGCCAAACAAAACGGATAGATTAAACTTTTTTTGGCCTTTTATGAGAGCATAGTTTGACTTCAAACATCTTTTATCGCTTCCACAGAGAAAATCCTGTTTTGAAAAGTGCCAATAAGTACAGTAAAGCCTAAAATATTTAATCTTCCTCATCATTACACATTTTTGGGATTTTTTTTGTTCAAATCTGGCAAGTCATGTTATTGCAACCAGACTGACAAGATGTTAGGTTTAGATACAGATAACCTAAAGCAGTTTAGGTGTTTTTGATCTGGAACCAAATCAGCTGTAGGCCACGCCTCTGGGAACAACAGCAACTGCCACTTTGTGGGATCCGGATCTCGGAAGTGGAGATTTAAAAAAACAGATAAGCAATGCCTGGCCAAATGTGTTGGTGGGTGGGGGTGAATAGATATTTATAAAGAATTTAATGTTTTTTTGCAAGTAATAGCAAAAAAAAAATACATGGAAAAAAAGAAAAACAACAAAAAAATAGAATTATACTAGTAAATATTTAATGAAAAACTATTATGAAAAATTGTACTAGTTTGTCCACTGTTAAGTCATTCATCTTCTATTTAAAGCTACTAAGTAATTTTTTTGAAGAAAATGCCTATGAAGCTCTTTCTTTTTCTTTTTTTTAATGAAGTTGTTTTTATTATTTATTTTGCAAACATCACCATCTGTAAATACTATGTGCTCAAACCTAAAGTCCAGTTTACTCTTGCTAATGTTAGCTGAAACAGGACTTTGAATACCTAGTTTAGTGAGTCTTAAACCACCTAAGTTAGACTTAAACCCCCTTCGCAGCCTTGGTTTTTCACAAAAACCTAAAAAAAGACACCCAATTCTCTCCTATCTAAAGAAGAACAAGAAGGTAGCTACTGTGCTTTAAAGACATGTTAGATTTTGAATATTGATGAGAATTAGATTCATACTGAATCTAACATGTAATTCAAAATAATAAAGCTTTTTTTTTTTCTTTTTTTTTTTGGACAACCCCTTTAAAAAAATTTTTTTTTGCAAAAGTCTAATCCCTGCTATGTACTGTTTTAAGTGAAAGGTTCAAATTCCACATTGCGTCTGCACAAATGAACAGTGTAATAGTTGAAACCATCGACTTTGCATTTCAGATTTTTTGTAACTCAAATAATTAACGGCAAACAATCTTCATTTGAACGTTCAAACTGATAAAAGTCTAGAAAATGCATTGTTTTTGGTTTGCATTTAATGCTAGTTTGATACCTCTGGTCTCTGACTTGCTGTAGAAACAAGATTTGGCATAAATCTGTCCCGCACTTTCTCAAACTTCTAGATTTTAACAGAAAAGAGACAGAAATGCATTTAAAAAGTAACTTTGTTAATATGTCCTAAATGTCCAACCTTTACTGACTCTCTCCCTTTCCCTCCATCTGTTTATCTTGTCGCAGGTTTTTGCACGGGACTCTCAGTGTCCTGCACGGCGTTCCTTCCCATGGACCTCAGGGTGGGAGAGAGGGGGATGCGCCCTGGTTCGGAAACAGCGCTTCTCACCCCGCTGCACCAACCTTTACTCCTCACACCCTTCACCCCGCAACCCCACAGCGCCTTCTCCCAGCAACAGCTGCATCAGCAAATCAGGGTAGGGATTACTTTAATACAAGGGTTCACGACCAGTCAGGAAAAGCATTAATCAAAAGTAAACAGAAAAGGGAAAATATGTCTATGTTCAGGGTTTTTCCCAATGCCATTTTCTTCTGTTTGTACGCACCCATCAAACCATTGACCCTGGAAATAATTCATACTGGTTTAAATCTAATGTGAAATCAAACGTGAAAATTATCGATTTTTGAAATGCATGAATGGTCAAACTGCTACAAGGGAATGACGCAACTTTCTTCACACGTTCTCTGTTCCAGTTTAATATGGAGCAGAGGAGGCGAGAGCAGGAGCAACATGAGAAGCAACAAGAACTGCAGCAGCTAAAGCACAAAGACAGAAGTCAGCAGAGTGAGTCCATACACACACAGACACACACTAAAGGCTTTACTCTAATGACACGTTTCTGAGAGTTTAAATTAAGACCCTTAATTGCCGTTCTTCATCTGATCTTTCAAATATAACCATTGCTCAGAGTGCGAATGGTGGCCAGAGAGGAAAGTCCCTACAGGAGATCAGTGGCTTTGAACTGCGACGGATCTGCGTCACTTCACTTTTAGAGCTGTTTGCTTTGAAATTACTGCTAAATATAACCTGACAAGTGGAGCTACAACAGGGGAGTTAAATATAGAGCTGGGTCTGGGCACATAAAGTCACTGGGTCAATATTGACTTGATCACTTGTAGCACCTGCTGTCACTTCTGTGTGCACACATGTGCACTTGCACAAAAGCACGCCTCGATGACAATAAACAACCAGAGAAGCAGGTGAACTATAGATAGATAGATAGATTATTTTTATTATTATTGTGATTATTATTATTATTTTTGTGAACTGGTCTGCCTCCTTTTTGCTGTAATTCTTGCATCTGTTTCTTTTTCTCTCCTTGAAACGTGTCGGTATTGTTGATTTTCAGGTGCTGTGGCGAGTTCAGCGGTAAAACAGAAACTCCAGGAGGTGATTCTCAAGAAGCAGAAACAGGCAGCGCTTGAAAGAACAAACTCCAACACGCTGAACGTACATCCTGTACCATACAGGTGAATAAAACATTCATCTGAACAGGAGACAGGCAGCAGATATCTAGACACTAACATTTCATTTTGAATTTATTAATCGCACTTTTCATTGACTTATGCAAAAAGGAAAGGGGGAAAAAGCAGGTTTTTAGTTTAGGGTCACATATTAGGAGATAATTGATATAACTGATGCAGGTCGGGTTCTAAAACCTTCTTTCTACGCCCACATCAGATTTTTTTATGAAAGAAATATATATTTTTTTTTGCCATCTTCGTTTGCCTTGAGGTTTGCATTCTTGTTTCATTGTATTTCTCTTTAGTTTCCACCACAGCTTTAGTGGCAGGTTCAGGTTTGGACTTTGACTGGGCCAAAATATTCCAATGATTTCTTTATTGTTTAAATATTCTGATTGCTACTGTATTTCATTGTTGCGTCGATAAACTAAATTTGGCATAGCTTTACATTCAAGCCTGGTTTATTTTAGAAGTAGAGTGAACCATATTCTGTCCACTAGTCTGATTGCTCCTGAGCTGAATGTGCTGATATGCTGTTTTTTCTCTGTTTGTCTATCATAACATTATAGTAAAACATCTCTATCTTGGTCTTATTTGTCAAACAGTGTTTTTTCATTATGTTTTGCAGTTAATTTAAATGTGATTTGCAAAGCTGAGTCATGCTGCCATATTCTTGTTAAAGAGGGCATTTCTTCCAGCAGACATTTTCAATGATTTTTTATTCTTTTTCAAGATATTCTGCCAAAAACGTTAATATTTGACATACAAACTGGAGTTTGGACTGAAGCTTTTTGTGGCGGAATCTGCTGGGATATCCAGTCTAGTAAGGATTTAGGAATCAGTACTAAATAATATTGAAAAAGCCTTTTAACCGTTCCTAGATTTAAGGACACTAACAGTTGTGTAAAGTCAGTGCTAATGTTTTTATTAAGTTTTGCATTCTGGGAGAAGTACAAACCTAAATGCTTCGCAGCAGCAAATCCAAAAACAGTTTTTTTAGAGGTGCTCACCCTGGATGGTGGTGATGATGATGATCAGAAGCACCTGGCTACAACTTTGGAGTGCAATCTGTTTGAAGCCAAAAGGGCTTCCTTAGTTATTTCCTTTTGGCTTTTTTCTAATGAATGATGACAGATTTGAATCTCTGTGTGTTGGTGTGTTGTTTTTTCCCCGTTTTTTACTCCTGAGTTTGGAGGAGATCATTCTGGTCTGTTAGAGATCAGATTATTAGTATTTTTTCAGGTACAGCCCTAGAATTTAGACTGTCTACCTTTTTTAATGCCTGCACCTAGTTGCTAGTAATTGTATGCATTATTCTTTGCTTTCTTCTTTCCAGAAAGCTTGGCCCAGACCCTAATGTGGCCTCCCAGCCTTTGGTCTCATCTCCACCACAGCCTCCGTCTGAGGTCTCGGAGGGGACACCACTGCGCAGAGCAGGTAAAACACTCAACATCAACTATCTGTCCAAAATAACTGATGAAAACATTTTCTAAAGGATATATAAAAACTAGATTCTTAATGTGCAGTGAAAGAGGTGTGATTTTAGAGAAGTAGAATTAAAGGTACGATTTACACAATAGCACTTGATGCTACACTATTTCAACGGGATTCATTGTAATATAAAAATAATCCTCTTATCAGTTTTTAGCTTGCTTTGATCTGCATAAAAACCAAACATCAGCTTAAAGTCGTACGGAAATCATATGTAAATATCAAATCATTCTGGCTTAAACATGTCTATAAATGTACTCTTTATCAGAAAAATCTGAAAATTTCTGTTTTGAAAAATAAAATCCTGTCTTAAAATCATTGGGGGGGGTTTGTTATCTTATGCAGGCTTGTGAGCTTGAACAGCTAAATTCGCCCAATCATATATCAACAGTCATCTGTCAATCAAATTTTTTGGTTATAGCATCTTGATTCATATATTGCAGCTAATATACACAACAGTTGAAATAAGAGATAAGAATTATTTCCTTTCCCATTGAGTTCCGTCCCAGTGTTCACGGAGATGGACGTCTGTGTCTTCAGCAGGTGTAGAGCTAACAGAACTGGCAGCGTTGCGAGGCAAGGGCTCAAACATGTACGGCTGTAAGCCTTCTACACCAAACCAAGCTTCTGCCGCCCTGGCGTCCTCTTCCACAACAACTTCGTCCCCGCTTTCCTCCTCTACATAAAAAATGGATGATGGAGGAGACTCATCCACGACCTCCGACACTAAACTCTCCTCCTCTTGCATGTTTCCGCTGTCCATGGCGTTCCTTGACAGTGTCGTTTCTAAGTCACCAATTTAGTGCTACTTGGTCCCAATGGAATTTCCCATTGGAAACCTACTAGCATTAAGTTGCTAACTGGTTAGCAATGATGCTTTTGAGACACTGGCCACATCAAAAGCTTGCGAACCACAACAATCCCGCTCTCTTGATAAACGACCAATCACATTCACTTTATTCACTCGGGTAAAAGAACAGCTGTTTCCCTACGACTTTAAAGTTAAGAAGAAAAGTTAAAGTTAAGGAAAAGTGCTACTACACTATTAAGTGGAAAGTTTTCTGCCAAAAATATGTAGAAGCATCTTTATGGAGATGTTTTGTTTCAGAAGGAACTTTCCATGTCAGAAACTGATCTGGGATAACAACCTCTCTAGCAGTTTTAGACCTAATCTATCTCATAGGTTTTTCTGTCGGCTTGACCTCCACACTCTAAATAGGCCAGTCAGGTTCTTCCTCTCCAAACAGGCTCATCCATTCCTCTAAGTTAGTAGCTTTCTGCTCTGCACTGCAAAAAAAAAATCTAAATAAGTAATTTTTCCTAAAATGAGTGCATTTTTTTTTCTTAAATTGAGTAGCAAAGTGAAACACTTTGCCAATGAAACTAGACTATTCAATAAGTGGGAATGCTTATGCATTCCCACTTATTGTTTTTCTGTTTCTCTTTATTATCAAGTGGGAATGCTTATGCATTCCCACTTATTGTTGTTCACTTTAAATTTTTCTGACTCTAACTAGTCCCGCAGTTTTCCACCGATTTCAACAATTTTGGTATCAAAACGTTCAGCTTGTTCAGGAGAATTCTGCTATGTCTTTTGGTAAAGATATGTTTTGTAGTTTTCGCGATATTCAACTTTTTCTGCGATTTTTTTGTCCCATTGAAATGCATGTAGAATTCTTAGATTTCAGCAAACTTCAGCTAAAGCTTCATCGTCTTTGACCTTTAACTACTTCAGCATACTTTCAGCTAGAAACACCATTCAACTTTTAAAATGTTTCCGTATCTTTCTGCTATTTCTGTTTAACTCGGCTTTTTGCTAACTTTTACAGTTTTGCTTCAGTGAAGCTTCAAACTTTAAAAGAACATTTTAAGATTTTCAGATTTATAATGGAAGTCTATGGACGGAATTTTTTAACTGCTAGAGTGCGTGCTCTAGCTTTTGAGCTGTTCTGGTTTTTCCGAACAAATTCTTCTCAGTCCCTCATTTTTAACTCAATTGAAATAAATTATACATCAAAACGTAGGGATTTTTGTCAGGATTCAGGAAATGTAACCCTCATCTGTGTGGCATTTACGGTTTTCCGACAGTTTAACCCAGACCACGAAGAAGTCCACACTTCCCCAATAGAAATCCAATGAGAGATCTCTGAAAATCCGAAATGAAAATTCAAAAAAACAGACTTTTTCGTATCGCTCCCATTCGGGAACCGTTCGACGTAGCAACACGAGCCTTGTGGAAGTTGTTCCTCAGACCTTCCTAGCACTCACATTGAAGGAAGTGTGTCGATATCTTTTATCGTTTAGCTAGGAAAAAGGTTTGTTCGGGGGTAACAAATCTGTCCGAACCCCAAAATCAAGATTTTGACAATTATACACTTTTTTACATCGTCACCACGCCTAGACGAAATATTGTAGAAATATGAAAGTTACACCAGTTGTAGTCCAAAGTAGGGCTGCAACTAACGATTATTTAAAAAATCGATGAATCGGCCGATTATTTTTTCGATTAATCGATGAATCGGACAAAAAAAAAAAAATTTATATTAACCTCTTTATTCCAAAATAAACATTTTAGACAGAACAAACAAGCACACAAGTACAGGTTGCTCATTAACTGTACTGGTGCAATATGAAAAATAAATGTTTGTGTAAAAACTACGCAAACTTACATGAGAAATGTAGCTGTACATCCACAAAATATAGGCTACTTTGGTTCATAAAGCGCAAAAAGAGACAGGCATTTTTGTTTTTTAAAGCCCCTAAGGGGTTCAACAATAGGTCCCCCCATTTCAAGAAATGAGTTTTTTTTAGACTAGAAGAGTTCTGCCTTTTAAGACAGGAAAGTATAGCAGTTAAAGTTGCTGCTTGAGAAAATACTGAACCATAGAGATAAAAATAGCCCTGTGATTCAAATTATAAATTGTATTTGGAATAAAAATGAGAGAACTAGGGGTGGTAAAAAAACACATCCTCCAAAGACAGATATTTACATGGGAATGTGGCAGATAATTAATTGACATATTACTGATCTTGCTGGATTTTGTTCTGCTTTACTTCCATAAATTGCAGGATCTTCTTTTCTTTATCTTTGCCAGAAGATTTAAACTTTAAAAGCCTTGCCCTCATAATTTGCAAGTTTATTTATAAAGAAAATATAAACGCTGCTTAAACAAATGTAAATGAAATTAAAAGTAAAATAAGTAGCCAACCTTATCCCTGTCTGTAACCTACTAACAAGGTAAGGAAAGCATCAGATGAGCTACCTGAGAAACTAACGTTACGTTTCCCCACTTTAAAACCAAACAAACATGGTTACTCATCCTGCTGATCAGCTCTCTTCACTGCCATCGAAGGCTCCAAAGTGTTTTCTTTTCAGGTGCTGCGTCATAACAGTGGTGCTTCCGTGCCATGTTAATTTCTTTTGAAAAAAGTTGCATGTTATCACTTTTTTCACTTTACAAAGCGCAGGCTATTTTAATTATTGTGATCAATTTGCGCCGTCAATCCCGGCGCATGCGCGCTTCATTTGCAGTCTGGACGCTGAGGGTAAACTCCTCACTAAAATCCTGCGGCTCTGACTGCCGCGCTGAGAGGGATTCCTGTGGGAGAGGGAGAAAGGGGTTGGGATGGGGGAGGCGCCCCACGGCAGGCAAAAGCCGCCAGTGACACCGTAAAAATTCGCCAGATTTGTCGCTAGTCGCTTTTTTGAAAAATAGTCACTGGAGGGGTCTGAAAAGTCGCTGAGTTGGCAACACTGCAACTGCGGCGCTGACTCGCTCCGCCATATTTTTTTTTCTTCCCCCGGATGACGGCGGCGGCGGATGACGCATTAATCGCGCGACACAACTAATCGATGATTAAATTCGTTGCCAACGCTTTTAAAAGTCGATTTTTATCGATTTTATCGATTCGTTGTTGCAGCCCTAGTCCAAAGATGGCTGACACTCACGGTGAAAGAATTTTTTGAATACCTAATACGGTTTTGGCTCACCGCTCGTTTGTTCGGAGGGAAAGTTTTGCTTTTGAGAGTTCTGCTCTACCGTTGTGCTGCATGTTATTCAATGAGACCAGCAGGATTTCTCAAACCTTTTTATTCCTCCTTCCCATTAAGGTTGTGAATGAGCTACATCTATGAAAGTTACCCCAATTGGAGACAAAGGATAGCTGTCGCTTAGACTGAAAGAATTTTTTAGATACCATTTACGGTTTGTCTTCAGCACTCGTTTGTTCGGAGCTGATAATCCCATTCAAAAAAGCCTGAGAACTAAGGAACGAAAGTGATGCGCATGTCTCTCTGTCACTGACAGGCTCGTTAACGTCGTCAAGGTAACCGTGCTTCAAAGAGATTTTACCTCCACCACTTTAAACAGCACATTTTAATCTAATGGAGGGAGACAACACTGATTTAACATTAGGAAGTGGCTACAATATGACTACTGGCCATGACCCTTCCCTTCACACGCAACCCTGATAGACTTTCAAAATAAGACTCTGGGGACCCTTCAAAATAAAAGCCCCTACATTAAACTCATATTTTTTTCTCAGCATATGGCTCAACATTAGGACCCAAACTCAACCACTTTTTTTAAAAATGAGACTCTAGGGGTTTTTCAAAACACACCCCCCCCCA